TAGATGACCATTTGGAATTTCTAAAACTATTTAGCCTAGTATCAGATTAAATTTGGTATGACTTCTCCCATTTACATAGATGACCATTTGGAATTTCTAAACTATTTAACCTAGTATCAGATTAAATTTGGTATGACTTCTCCCATTTACATAGATGACCATTTGGAATTTCTAAACTATTTAGCCTAGTATCAGATTAAATTGGGTATCAGATGACTTCTCCCATTTACATAGATGACCATTTAGAATTTCTAAACTATTTAGCCTAGTATCAGATTAAATTTGGTATGACCATTTAGAATTTCTCCCATTTACATAGATGACCATTTGGAATTTCTAAACTATTTTAGCCTAGTATCAGATTAAATTTGGTATGACTTCTCCCATTTACATAGATGACCATTTGGAATTTCTAAACTATTTAGCCTAGTATCAGATTAAATTTGGTATGACTTCTCCCATTTACATAGATGACCATTTGGAATTTCTAAACTATTTAGCCTAGTATCAGATTAAATTTGGTATGACTTCTCCCATTTACATAGATGACCATTTGGAATTTCTAAACTATTTTAAACCTAGTATCAGATTAAATTTGGTATGACTTCTCCCATTTACATAGATGACCATTTAGAATTTCTAAACTATTTAGCCTAGTATCAGATTAAATTTGGTAAGACTTCTCCCATTTACATAGATGACCATTTGGAATTTCTAAACTATTTAGCCTAGTATCAGATTAAATTTGGTATGACTTCTCCCATTTACATAGAGATGACCATTAAGAATTTCTAAACTATTTAAAGCCTAGTATCAGATTAAATTTGGTATGACTTCTCCATTTACATTAGATGACCATTTGGAATTTCTAAACTATTTAGCCTAGTATCAGATTAAATTTGGTATGACTTCTCCCATTTACATAGATGACCATTTGGAATTTCTAAACTATTTAGCCTAGTATCAGATTAAATTTGGTATGACTTCTCCCATTTACATAGATGACCATTTGGAATTTCTAAACTATTTAGCCTAGTATCAGATTAAATTTGGTATGACTTCTCCCATTTACATAGATGACCATTTGGAATTTCTAAACTATTTAGCCTAGTATCAGATTAAATTTGGTATGACTTCTCCCATTTACATAGATGACCATTTAGATTTTCTAAACTATTTAGCCCAGTATCAGATTAAATTTGGTATTACTTCTCCCATTTACATAGATGACCATTTGGAATTTCTAAACTATTTAGCCTAGTATCAGATTAAATTTGGTATGACTTCTCCAATTTACATAGATGACCATTTGGAATTTCTAAACTATTTAGCCTAGTATCAGATTAAATTTGGTATGACTTCTCCCATTTACATAGATGACCATTTGGAATTTCCAAACTATTTAGCCTAGTAACAGATTAAATTTGGTATGACTTCTCCCATTTACATAGATGACCATTTGGAATTTCTAAACTATTTAGCCTAGTATCAGATTAAATTTGGTATGACTTCTCCCATTTACATAGATGACCATTTGGAATTTCTAAACTATTTAGCCTAGTAACAGATTAAATTTGGTATGACTTCTCCCATTTACTTAGATGACCATTTGGAATTTCCAAACTATTTAGCCTAGTATCAGATTAAATTTGGTATGACTTCTCCCATTTACATAGATGACCATTTGGAATTTTCAAACTATTTAGCCTAGTATTAGATTAAATTTGGTATGACTTCTTCCATTTACATAGATGACCATTTGGAATTTCCAAGCTATTTAGCCTAGAATTAGATTAAATTTGGTATGACTTCTCCCATTTACATAGATGGCCATTTGGATTTTCCAAACTATTTAGCCTAGAATTAGATTAAATTTGGTATGACTTCTTCCATTTACATAGATGACCATTTGGAATTTCTAAACTATTTAGCCTAGAATTAGATTAAATTTGGTAAATGAAAACTCAGGTCGATTTGAATTCTGCAATGGCTCATAAAATATTATTTTCTGTTAACCTACTTCAAATTTACACACCGTAAAATAAGATAATTTTTAGATTGGTAACCAGCAGGATGCTGAGAATACCATGGACCGAAAATGTGAGCAACTACGAAGATTTAGAGAAAATGGAAACAAAAAAGGACAATTATACTTAACATCAGTAAAAATTTATACAAACATAATGAAGAAAGGAGGCTTGAAAAAATTGATACTCACAGGACATATTAAAGTCAAGAAGGTCTGTATAAATAAAACAACGCATAGCCTAGTGAGCCTGAGTAAATAGATAGCGGATAAAGGTTTAGAGGAAATAACAAAAAGACGAAAGTTATTAAGAGCTACAAATGAAAGGAATGAGGCATGATATCTTACCTCCTGAGGAGACACGGCATATAGAAGAATTACCACCTAGAATTACCAAACCTTACAGTCCGTGACCTTATGTAAAAATATTAAGCTTTGTAAATAAACACTCAAATTCCAAGGACTTAGTGCCTTATATAAAACATTCTTTTATTTACTTCCTCTTCAAATTTATGACTCATATGATCGGATCAGTAATTAGATTTTTAGGAGTACACACTATAAACAGCTTGCGATCTACTTTAAGAAGTTCAATCTTAAATAAACATTAACAACTCCGTTAACTTTGCAGTACCTCATATAATATTAGTCTCAAACAATTCAATAAAATCCAACCTGATTGTGTGTCCTATTTAGGAGTACCAGACACTATACCAGCTTGTTAACACTAAAGTTCCTATATTTTCTGAGATGCTTTATAATTTTTTTTTTCTTCTAATCGCCAAATTTAATCAACCGCCAACCAGATTTACATTTAGGCAGATCATTTGGGAATAACAAAAATTGCAAACAGTGTGTGTAGAAAAATCATACTTCCAAACGAAACACTAAAAATCTTGGTGGTCTCTGCACTATTTTATAAATAATTAATTTTTTATGTCATATGATCTTTTGAATTTTACAATGCCGTTTAATATATTTTCTCACCTGATCACGTATTATCGAATATGGACAATAGTAATACAGATAAGCCTTAGGTATCATTAAAGATCTGCGTATTTCTTTTGCTTTTTACCCTACTTTATGTATTATCTGTGTGATTTATTTATTTATTATTGTGTATCTTTCTTTTGTTTGATTTAATTATTTTTTGAAAATTATACTATTTATTTATTTTAATCGTTTCATTTTTTTACTTTCTTTCTCGTCTGTTTACTTTACTCGTTCTTTATTCAGTTCCTTTTTGTTTGTTTTTGTCTACTTTCTTGTATGCTTATTAATTCTTTTTCTATTTCTATTTATTTATCTGCTTAATTTTGTGTCTATTTCTCCATTTTCTTTTTATTCGATTTTGAAGTTTTACATTTTTTCTATCTTTTTCAGCATTGATCTTTATATTCCATTGACTGTCTTGACTAATACAGTTTTTTTTGTTATTTTAAATAGTAATGAAAAGAATTATTTTAAAAAATGTATACTCATTATAAGCAGATAGCTGCATGTAATTTTGAACAATGCAACAATATAAAAACCCAACCTGTATAAAAGTTAATGTAATAATTTGCAAAATTTACAAAACTGCACTCAAGTTTTTAAATAAGGCAAACTAGAATTTTCTTTTACTTTTAAAGTCCCGGATCAAATGTAACGTAGAGAAGCGCGGCTACAACACAAAGTGTATCGCATATACGGAACGAGAAAGATAAATCACAATTATGTCTATCTGAGACTTGGTTTGAAGATTGCATTACAGCAAGAAAATGTCACCATAATTGTTACCATAAAATATTGATTTCAATATATATATATATATATATATATATATATATATATATATATATATATATATATATATATATATATATATATGTATGTATGTGTGAGTGTGTGTGTGTGTGTAATAAATAGAGCACAGTTTTCGGCATGATTGCGTTATTAATATCTGCATTGAAAAATGCAAGTTTTACGGAAAAAAACTAAAATAAGCTGGTATGAACATCACCCAGACCCAGTCACAGCGATAAGAGCTGTAGCAATTTTATGGGACTTTACAATATACACAGATGAAACAATTAAATCTAATCGGCCAGACGCCGTGATCAAAGACCACAAGAACAGAATGTACTTTCTTATTGATACGGTAGTCCATGTCGATTGTAATGTATCAAAATACAAGGGTCCTGAAGGAGAAATCTCTAAAATGTGACACATGAGGACATCAATAATTCCAGTTGTAGATGAAGCCCCCCACCCCGGATTGATTGGAAAAGGTTCCGATAGACTCAATAAAGGGATTCCAGGTAGGTCCTGTCTTAAAGAAATATAAAACATTGAACTAGCCAGTACAGCTAACACATTACAAAGAGCTTTATCTATGTAAAATGTATGTGATGTTAGGGATTTTAGGTTTTTTATATATATATATATATATATATATGATATTTTCTCATACACTTAAATAGGCAGTAATACGATAAAAAGCCGTTATACAATAAAATATTCAAAAATAAATGTTAATATATTCGATATATATATATATATATATATATATATATATCGAATCAATGATATTGATATAATTAGTATGATTTAATTACAGCTGATTAATTTTATCTTATAGTGATAATGTACACTTAAATTTCACCATTCATTGTACATATGAGTATAACATCCAGATGGAGGATGAAACAATCTTCTTGGGACACAACGCACCTGCGCCTTACCTACCTCTCAAAATAGGCACCGCTAAAGATATAATTAACTTTGCACTCACTCTAAGCCCTGCAGCAGTGAGTGGATGACAGTTATGGTTTTAAAGAAAAGCCCTAACATATGCCCAGTCTCGTCCCTATTCTATTCCTTCCTGTAAAGCCACAAGAAACTAGACAATAATCGAAGGAAAAATAAAAATATTGTTTTATAAAGAGGTGAAAATTGTCTAATACGTTCAAGCAGATCGAGAAGACAACGAGGCATGCACAATAGGACGCCGCGCTGCTATCGGCGCCTTCAACCATTGCTCAAACTAATTGGTTGTTCTTTGTTTGGGGCAAGAAAGAAAATTGAAATCAGGCATCCGTGACTCAAGGACCCACCATGGACAATTGAGGCTCAAAGCGATTAAAATTACATTCAAACGATAGAATAGATTTTGGGGAATTAATTTCGACTTTTAACCCGGACCAGATGCTTTCAGACTGAGAGGTCTACAGACTGTGCGCGAATTATTACCCATGTTTCAGCCGACACACAATAATTTTACTAAATGTTCGACTTATACACGTGTATATTCGGTAATTATTTTCTAGTTCCTGAGTCATCTGATATTATTCTAATTAAAAGTAAAACATTTAAATCTGTGCAATAAGTCATGATTAACAAAAATGGATAATTTATAAAGAGCATTCTAAAAGTAAAAGATGATACAATACGTTAATTTAAATTGATTAGCTTCGTCTACTGAACCAACAACGCAACATTTTATTACTTAAAGATACATAATTTCAGACTGTATCATATATTGTAATTAGTACAGATTTATCACATCGTCATACATTTCTTGTTAATGATATCATTGCCCACCCCTTTTTAGGAAGAAGGACGTTTTACAATAAAATATATCCTATTCTTAAATATTCAAACTTATACTTCCTTATATTTAGTAATACTTCTCCTAATGGTGCTCTTATCAGTTAAAAATGATAAACCATATAATTCATATGATAAATCATAATTATTAGTAATGGATCATTTATATGAAGTGTTCAGGGAAAAGGATCTTTTCAACCAAATCTATACTATATATATTTCTTGAGAAACATTCATGTAGGATTATTTTTATGTGCTAACCAGTATTTCTAATAATATTTCTTATAGTGGAAATATTTTAAAAGTATATATTCCGTGCCATATCAAGGAAAGGTCAAATCCATTCACAAGCACATAAGAAAATAATCAATAAAATTGACTAAATATTGTTGTATTTATGCAAAAATTTGTATTTGTCTTATAATATGATTGCAATATTATTATTTTGTTAAAAATAAAATTATTTGGTTGATGAAAAATCACATAACGGCAACCTACTTTGCACAATGTTATGGACATTATAGAAGTTTCTTTAATGCTTACTCCGTTAATTTTGCTTCGGAAAACAATCACTTGTAGAAAATTGCATTCAACGTGATATTAGGAAAACGAACATCTCACAATATAAACAATTCCTACAGAAAGAAAAGAATTGTGAGATAAGTCTGCAACACTACAAACAGAAAAAAGCTATAAGAATCCAAAACGAAGTACTTTCTATAACTCAAATATTGTTTTACACATATTGATATATCGATAATTTTATGTGGTATGTTGTCATGTTTTTGCAACAACTGGTATTTCTAATACAACAAGGGGGGTTTAAAAACATATCCGGCGCCACCTAAAGTGTTCATATATCAATGAAAACAATATATTTTAAGACTATTTTTTCCATTAAATGCAACACTAAAACAAGATTATTTCACGTTGTTTAACGATCAGTCGACAAATTTAAGACAAAATACAATATTACGAAAAACTAATCAAAATTAGTACATAATTTACAAATTCCAATTAAAATATTCTAAGAAAATTGAATTATCTATAATTCCAAGAAAAGTCATTTTCCTTCAAAGATATTTTAAGACTTAATTCATTCGTTTTAGTTTTTTATTATAGTTATTCAATGTTTCGGTTGTAGAATGAATTGTCTTAAATTATGTATCAAATGGGAGGCAATGACTAACTGAGAAAGGAACATTTTCCACAAAGTTTTCTAATAAAATAGTCTATTCAGTATACAACGTATTCATTAATGAATAAGTCATGAATGTTTCACTTGAATCAAATAATTTACTGATATTTTTTTTAAACAGGGCGTAACTTCTTTTGGGGGTTTCATTTCGGAAAAACGCGTACCTACTTTATAACAATCATGATTAATCAAGTAACATTTAAACATCTCTCAAATTGGTAATGTGTTTTATTTAATTAAAATTAAACGCAATTCATGTTTTATTAATTCAGTTGAATTTCTACTTTGAATAAAAATGTTAATGTTTTTCCTGTGAATATTTTCTTCTTGTTGAATAAATATCGGTTTAAAATATAAGTGATTTGAAGTTTCCTCCTCAGGTGGAATTTTAAAATGTAAAGAACCTAACTCACAATCCCAAATGTTTCAACCTGTGAAAGCAGTTTCCGCCTGTAGCCTCCCAATCTGCTATCGTTAGTAACTCGGCATTTGTCAATAAATAGAAAGGTTTTTAAAGAAATGGTATTTACGTATTTTTTTGTCGATTTCATTTAATTTCCTCGTTGGGTTTAATCGGTCTACCCCGTTTTTATCAAACAAATTTGTACTTAAGCTTACGTTTTTTTACCTATCCTCGCGGTCACAACGCCTAAAACTACCATAGATTCACAAAGACTACTTTTAATAACTTTTCTGTTATAGGATGTAGATTGTCGAGATGAAGTGTTCAATTTCATCATTAGATCCGAGTTGTCCAGACTTTTCAAGGAACATATTCACAAATAAGTGGTTTCATCCGATCATTTTTGCAATTTATGTTATTTTGATTTGTATAAGCTCTAGGATTATGAAAATATTTCTCTTTATCCTTCAGTCTTCTAACCATTTTCAAATTTCAAACATGCAATATGGTTATTAATTTTAAATTTCTAAATTCAATGCATTTACAAATGGCCGCCGTTTACATCTGCGCAGAACGAAACAACTTTCATCGTAAACGTTCAGATATGTTACCATCATTCAGAAAATAAGCTTTCATTTTCCAATATTATTTATCTATCGATAAAACATGAAATTACTAAAAATGTGAAATGCAGTACAGAATAATTATTGAAAATAAATACTGAAAATAAATTTTGAAAAATCACGCGTCATTAAAGTGTCAGTCCTTAAAACGTCACGTGACTGCGTCTGTCAAAAGAAAACGATACGCATAAAAAGACAAAATCGAAAAGTGTACAGTTTTTAATTTCCTTTTATCTTTTCTTTTTGCATTCTTCTTCATCTTTATCTTGATTGTTGCTGCCTTTACCCTGCTTTTTCTCTCTCGCTCTCTCCTACTCTCTCTATCTTTTGTCGTCCATTTCTAACACATTTCTATAATTAGATGCATCTAATTTATCTCTCTCTCTCTCTCTCTCTCTCTCTCTCTCTCTCTCTCTCTCTCTCCTGATTAATGTTCCAAAATAATTTCAGCGCAGAGAGTATGAAAATTAATCTTGTGATATTCCGTCGGCGATGACCTGCAATGAAACGTAGTTATTTAATTTCAAGAAATATTTCGGATTGGATATTAATTTTGTGAATGTAATTGCGAAGAGTGTCAATTTACTCACTTTGAAGTGACAATTGTAAAGTAGCAATTCTGGCATTAGATAATTTAAAATAGATTAGAAATATATAAAATTGTTTCTTAAAAATAAGAAGCTTGAAGTTAATACAGTGACATAACATGTATACACACACACACATACATACATATATATATATATATATATATATATATATATATATATATATATATATATATATATATATATGAATTGCACATAATATGCTGGTGTTAATAAAGGAATGCTCGACGTTATACAATAGAGATATTAAGTATATATTAATAAATATACATATTATCTCTCCCCGATAGCATGACTCAGTTTCATGTAAAACGCAATCTTCAAGTGCTGAGTATGGAAATACCGTTACGAAAATTGAATTTTAAAAATATATCTGCTAACCGCAATGCTGACGCAGTTAATTATTATATATTTTTTCAGATTATAGGTTTTAAAAATTATATCGTTTAAAAAGCTTTTTAAAAATTATAATTCTTAAAACATTAATCTTGGTAGTTAAAATAACAAGGATTAGTATTTGTATATATTTATAATTATGATTATTATTATTTTATTTTCGAGTAGCGGATAATTAATTATTTAATTAAAGAGCACTTACTTAATCTTATTTTTAAAATATTTATATTAAATATAAAATCAAACAGTAATTATTAACAATAAATTATAATATATAAACTTAACATACACTAAATCTAAACCGTGATAGTATTAAAAATTGATATGGGTCTAAGTGTTTAAGTAGATGTTTCTTCTATTCCTACATCTAATCATTAGTTCATTTCACTTCTTTAATAATCCCGGGTTATTTAAGTATTTTATGGTCAGAGAATTACACCGTCACGATCAAAATATTACTACCACCACCAATGCGAAAGTGATCAACTTTCTAGATGTAACATTAGGCCTGAATAATGGTTACCCTAAACAATATACAAACGAACTATATAACCATAGACAAGTTAGTGATAATTCAAACTACCACCACACAATTCTACATAACTTGCAGTCCAAGTTAGATTATCCACCAACTCCAGCAACAAGGAAATATTTGCTAATGTTAAAACGAAATATATAAAGGCTTTGGAACTAAGCAATTATAAAGTAAATTTAGATTATTTGAAAAACGTCAAAGATGGTAAAAAAAACACAGAAACATCATAAACGCAATATCATATGGTTTAATTCACATTTAAATGGTAATGTCCAAACTAATGTCGGAAACATTTTCCTGAAATTAATCTATAAGCATTTTAAACATTCTCGAATGTTAAAAAAATTTTAAAACAAAAATAATGTTAATTCAGTTAAAGGTGCGTTAGTAAAATCGATAGATCAATAGATATATATCCCAGCATAACAACACCATATTAAATAAACATCTTTCCAACAAAGACAACGTATTTTTTTCTAAAAATAAATGCAACTGCAGGAAGCATACGTTCTGTCATTAATCGTTCAAGGGATGACCTATAATATTGTATTATATATATATATATATATATATATATATATATATATATATATATATATATTGGTTCTACCGAAAATCCTTGAAAGTTTCGCTTCTACCATCACGAATATTAAATACAGAAACAGCTCTGCTCTCTCTAATTATTTCTGGCAATTGAAAGATACCAGTAATCTCACTTCAATTAACTGGAGTAGAATAGGAAGGGCAAAATCGTATAATGGTAAAAGGAATAAATATAACCTTTTGTTGAAAAAATGTTTATCGTAAATCACTTAAATAAACGGAGATTATTAAAGAAGAGAAATGAACTGATGGTTACATGGAGGCATAAAAATAACCATCTACTTAAAAATTTAGACCCAAATTAACTGTTAATACTATTACGGTTTAGTTTTTCGTGTATGCTATGGTTTATTATATATTATAATTTATTGTTAATAATTACTATATAAATCTATTTTTAATATTACTATTTTTTAAAAATAAGATGATGTAAGCTCCTTTTAGTTAAATAATTAATGATCCGCTATCTAAAATACAATAATAATAATAATAATAATAATAAAATAATAATAAATAAATAAATAAATAAATAATTAAAATTTACGTTCACATGCTTATTCCGGTTATTTTAATTACCAAATATAATGTTTTGAGAAGTATAATTTTTCAAAAGTTTGTTAAAAGTATATAATTTTTAAAATCTATAATAACATTATATATAATACTTAACTGTGCCTGAATTGCGGTAAATAGATATATTTTTAAAATTCAATTTACGTAACGGTCAATCCAAACACAGTACCTGAATATTCTGTTTTGTATGAAGCTCCATGTCGTGCGAATGGTGAGGGATAATAATATTATTATTATTTATTATTATTATTATTATTATTATATTATTATTATATATATATATATATATATATATATATATATATATATATATAAACGTATTATTTTAAATACTATATTTATATATTTAGTGCATACACGTGTTTCAGTAGACATCCCTGATTTTTAGACAATACAAATCTATGTCTACCGGCCTGTGAATATAAGAATCTTAATAAAGAAAATGTGCCCTGCGTTCACTTCGTAGGGGAAAACCATCGCTAGTTTTGAGATGACTCAACCACAGAACACATTCACTGTCGATTAAAGTTCAATTAGACTTTTTAAGGCATGCATATTTTTTGCTCATATCTAAGTCCATATCTATTAACTTTTATTTTCGTATTCTAACATAAACAAAATTATCTCTCAGGAATTAACGATTTGACTGATAATTTGATATTATTTTTTATTTAAACATTATATTTTGTAGATACACAAAACTCGGTAGAAATTACTGTTTTTACAGTATAAAATATTATAAATCTCCGTTTACTGGTCTATGCATTCGAGAGTCTTTATTTTGCTGACTGGGAAATTATTTCGTGACCAAGCGGTCTAAAAGCACACCAGGCTTTACAATGTTTTTCCATACAAAGATGGCGCAGATTCGAACCAAATCTGAAGAACTACTGTGAGAAGAGAAGACTTTTTTTAAAAGTTGGGTGGAGCACAGTGGAACAAATCTTCAGCTATAGGTTCCTCATCAAGAAATATCTCCAAAGCCAGAGAGTCCTGTTTCACAATTTCATTGATTTCAAGAAGCATTTGAACAGGTGATGGTCTCTGTGACATCCTCAGAAGATTCAATATAGAAAAAGGGCTCATACAAGTCATCCAGGCCCTCTATGACCATGCAAACAGCGCTGTTCTCTTGAGTAACTAACCTTTTGTGAGAAGAAAGAGCACCATGACGCAATTCACTCCGCCGGAAATTTGGAAACGACATGCTGTACTGTTTGGCATTCTCACCAGCAGCTCTAATACGAACATTTCAGATTAATTTGGTTTCAAAAGGAGTTGGGTGAGTTTAATTATATATAATATACTATATATATATACATTAATAACTTAACAAAACAATTCCTAAAATGTAAATACCCAATAAAAATAATAAAAGAAGCACTAAATAAAACTATCCACATAAATCGTAACACACTTCTCACATACAAGAAAAGTAAAAACAACAATCGGATTCCTATGGTTTTTAACCACAATCAATATTCCCACACACTTATTCACAATTTAAAAAAGGATTACAAGAACCTCTAGTTAGATAAAAAGATCAAAGACATTTTCGATAAACCACCCATAAATGCAAAGAAACAATCACCCAACCTATCAGCTATCCTCACCTCTACCAAATATCTAAACAATACAAACCAATCAGGAAATTACAAATGTAACACACCTCGTTGCTTAGTTTGCAAACACTTAATAATAGATAATGCATTTTCTGTACCCAACACCAATATCAAGATACACCCACTTCACCTCACCTGTGATAGCCATAACATAATCTACTATTTATTCTGCACCTTATGTCCTAATAGTGGATATATTGGTGAATCTGGAAATAATTTTAGATTTCGCTTCAACAATCATAAACAAACTTTTCGTCAAAACAATCCTTATTCCCCCATAGATGAACACTTTAATCAATCAGGACACTAATTAGAAAATTGTAAAAGTTTATTGATTGATTCTGATTTCAGTTCCACATACACACGCAGAAAAAAAGAAAAATACTGGATTTTAAAATTAAATACATATAAACTAGGATTAAATAAAGATTTGGGTATTTTAAATCTTTATACATATTTCAATAATTAAACATTTTTTTAGATATAGTTAAAAAAATTTTATTTCTTATTTTATTTTTTTTTATTTTTTAAACAACATCTAAGATATTATTACAGTTAGATTTACGTTAGGAATATTCGTTCCATATCACGTGACGCCCGCATCTCGCGACGGACGCTACTTGTAAACAAACAGTTATTTCTGAAGAAAGTTTGAGGCCAATCTGAAATATCAAATACATATACAAATAAATAAATAAATACTTTCATAAAAGAATATTATTATCTTTTTTAATTTGCAACTTTTTTTCTCTCTCTATATATATATATATATATATATATATATATATATATATATATATATATATATATATATATATATATATATATATAATCGCACAGTGAGTGCTGGTGTTAATAGAATAGTGCTCGATGCACTATAACAGAGGTATAAACTATACATTAATAAATATACATATTTTCCCTCACCGGTAGCACGAGTCGGAGTTTCATTCACAATGTAATCATAAGAATCTTAAGACTCTTAACTCAGCACCTGATGATTGCAATGTGCATGAAGCTCTGAGTATATTTATTATATATATATATATATATATATATATATATATATATATATATATATCCTTATTATTAGTT